TCAAAAAAAAATGTAATGATGACTTTCAAACATCCCCACCAATAGTCTGTGAGAAGAGGTATATATAAATACTAGTTTTGTTACGTGCGTTGCGCGATATATAAAATGCCCAATATAATTAATGGGGCCTTACTGATAGGATTTCTTCAAATAATGGGTGTACTTGTTTGGTATGATTCAACCATTCAAACACAATAATCCCAAACTTAGTGACCATCCCAAGTTGTGATTTTGCGGTCTCTAGAATCAATAAACGTGCACAAGTTCAGACCACACATATCACCACAACATCATCTATAATAATCCCAATAGAAGTCATATGCATGAACAAATCCAGAACCTCTTTATTCGACCCATTTTGTTTATGGCAAACAAATCAACTTTATCCTAAAAATCAAATTGTTTCATCAATTTCATTAAAAATGGCAAGCTTTAGCCCGACAGTCATGATACCCATTCTAACAACATAATCATTGTTAGAGACAATCAAATTCTTCACGCATTTGATTATAAATTAGCATTCATGTATCAACATTGTCGCTTGAACATGCCCTGACAAGATTGAGTTCCACGAAACCAAGTCACGGGACATTCATCAAATACCCTCCCGACATCAACCATGTGATCACTCATTGCATAAACATTAATCAAAGTATTATGAACATAAACATCTAATTTGAAAGAGAATTGGTACCGTTCTCAATAGAACGTGGAAAGAAAGAGACAATATGTAAAAAGTAGAAACTACCACATTCTCCCCATGACATGTCATTTCCCCCATAGTATATTAAAAAAAAGTGACTCATTTGATTTAAATAGGCAAGGTGCAAATTGCTAGTACACCCCACAATCTGCAATAGTAATAACTGTATTATTTAACATTCATTACACCAATTTACTCATAAGCTATAACAAAGACCCAAACAGTATATTGCTTGAGTTTTCAGTTTCTAAGCAACATTTTGAATTCAAACATTCATTCAAATTTGTTAATAAAACTTGACACTTACCACTGACATTGGCTTAATCACTTAAGCATGATTCTACCTTAATCTCAGGGGGTGTTTGCAATTGATTCTGCTTCTTTTTAAAAAACAGAAGTATAATCAGAATCAGTTTTTTCAGAAGCTGCTCTCCCCCAAATTCTAAAAAACTGCTTCCTAGGAGCAATTTGGATCTCCAGAAGCACCTCAACACTTTCATCCAAACACCCCAAAATTGGCTTCTGCTCCCCGATAGAGTAGAAAATAGTTTTGAAATGTAGATCCAAACACTATATTAGTATGGTACCCGGCTCCTTTAACCCTTATATCAGTCTGATGTGTTTATAGGCATTCCATTCATCATTTTGTTAATAGTTTGAAAAATGCCCTTGTTTGTTATAAATTGCACTAACTCACTAATTGAGTGCATAATCACGCACTGATACTCAACTAACTTAACTCGAGATGACCAAGGCATTATCACTTCTTGTGACCTCTGTTCTATCCAGGATGAAATTGTATTCTATCATAAGCCTTAAGTTTTTGTAGGTTTAAATATCACAAGTCAGATAGGTAGCCATAACAACTTGAAAGATAAGAATAGAGGATGAGTTTAGTTAGCGAAAAGGAAAAAAAAAGATAGAAAGAGTTCAAAGAATGTGCTTTAACAATCCTAAAAGAACTACCTGCCTAGCTAGTCGCTCTTGCATTTCAAGAAAGTTGATAGAGCTCTCGAAACATTTCCAAATATAACTTTCAATTATATAACTTTAAAATGGTTTATAATGATATTGAACTGAGTAATACCAGTATAACCAGATCAAAATTATATTGATAACCGGATCAGAATGATCTTGGAAAAAATGTATTTTCTGTGAACTCATGTTAAGATGAATATAAGAGATTAGTGTATATTAATAAATGTATTATATGAATCAATATTTCATAAATGTGGTTAGTTACTTTCTGAAGAATATTATAATAGAGGCTTTAATCAATCATCCCACAAAGTAAATTAGGTGATGTTAGCTAGAATCATAGGCACTGCTATAATATACGATAGGTAAGGATTTGAATAGCCTCATACGTGATTCTGTATAAAAACATCCTCACGGAGACTTAATTCATCCAAACAACCTTTTCTAGGAATAAGTTATCTTCACTTTTAAATCAATCTACTTTTTAGAATAGAGTCCATTAGTACTTCAAATACAACAATCACATGTAAATGTTTCAAAAATATTTCTTTAAACTGTAGTGGGCGAGATAGGTTACTTTAAAAAATTGGAAGATGAAAATCTCATAGGCTAGTATAAGCCTTTTCCTTTAGAAGAATATAAAATAGTACATCAAGGCATCATATTCAACTTCACAAAACTAACAATTCTAAAGAGGAGCAAAATTGTCACTTCTCAATACCCCTGGAAGGATGATCTTTAGCAACCAAAATAGCTTCAACCCAATGCATGTTTTCGATAATAATGGTAAGGTAAATCCTATGCGAATAATCCAGTGTGGTCTATAATGTAAATCCTATGTGAGCTAGTATTCCACTGTGTTTCAAGATAGATACATTATACTATATTTATGTATATAATATCTATATTCCAATGTATTATATGAATCAATATTTGCATAAATAGATATACGTACATGATTATATACTATTATTTCGTATTTCCTCCATTTTTAATTAAAAAGGCTTGAGAAATGAACTTATATCCAAAAACAATGTTCTATAGCAGAACTCTTTTGTACTCCATGTCATGGGCTGCGGTTTTATTCAATTTAAATACGGAGTACAAAATATTAAGCCACACTACTGATTTGCGCTTGCAAGCATTAATACTTGATAACACAATCAAAATGATATGAACCAATCTGCTTTTAAATAGACACAGAACAAACAAATAAATGAACAAAACTAAAGATTGCCAGGAAAAAGTAGAAACTAAGATTAATATGTTCTTAAATTGAACAAAACTACCACTCATTTCATCGAGTAGAAACGAAGTTTGGTAGATAATGCTCAAAAAAGTATTACTGGCTCATTGCTATAGCCCAGATAAAAATCAGGTACTTAGGGCATACTGGCATACCTTAATACTTAGGATGAAATATATATACTTACGGCAGAAAAGGCTATCACAATGGGTCTATATGGGGGTAAACTTATTCATAAACCTGTGGGATACATTGTGTTAGTAGCCGAGTCCAGAATTATAGACCTTAAAATAGATATCCAAAGCATCACCAAGTGGAGATTTGTAGGGCATAAGGGCAATCGAGATCCATTATGACAATATCTATTTATGCAACAGCTGCACTTCATTTATGATTAATCGGAAGTTTGTACAAGAACCTAGATACTTTACCTAGTTTTTATGTTGTTCTGTTCAACAAAAACTTATTCATTCAGAAGTGAGACGAAATGCCTAATTTGAACACACCCAGAACGATGTAAATTTAAGATACTAATTACATTCTGGTAGTTTGTGATGAAGGTATGTATATTAGAGAAAGTTTAATGCTATTCTAGTATAAAACTTAAAAAACAAACTATGAAACAAACCACCATTCATAAATAATTTGGAGAAAACCTTTTTTTTTGAACACTATATGTATAGTCGTTTAGGAAAGAGATACGGAGTATTTTTTTATTGATTAAAATCTAGGATAAGTTTAATTAGGAAAAGATTTTTAAAATATACCGAATTTTCAAATAAAGGAGATGTCTAAGGTGTGCTAACTCATCTAGCATATTTTGTTCCTACTTTTTACTTTTATTTTTTCAAGATTCAAAGATTTAATAGTTTGTTGTGTTAGCTATTCTAAATTTTGAAAAACAATATTACTATTTGTCCTAATGCATCTTTTCTTTTTTCTTTTTGATGAGTTATGTGTCTGTGAGGTATAGGAAATAGAAAAATTGTCTAAAATCTCATTTAGTGGTTTAGGCATATCTACAAGCACCTAGTATGCTACAAAGAATTATGTTTTGCTCTTCCAAGTTAAGTTCATACTTCATACGTATGGATTCAAACCTAACCCGAATGCTTAGTTAGGCATATCAACAAACACCTAGCATGCTTAAAAGAATTCCATCCATTAAAATAGACACACAGTAAAGAACTTGAGTGTGCTAACTGCTAAAGGACTTACACCAAAATAAGGTCCTCGGATTTGAAAACTTGTTGTGTAATATCTGTAATAAGGAAGCCAAATATATGAGCTACAGTAAAGATGTAAAGACCTACTCCAAGAAGGCCTCCTGCCTGCAGGAATATGGAAAAGCAAAGCTAAAGCATTAAGGTTGAAGAAAGTATCACCTATTTCTTATCGCCTTAATGTCGACACATCCAACTCCAGGGAGAAAGCAGCGGGTGGAGCGATCCTCGGAGAGACCCAAGGAAATTTCATAGGCCCAGCTAACTACCCGCTAAAGGCAGACTCTGTCCTCTAGCCGGAATTGAAACCTACAATCCAAGCAATCCGGATGTGTAGTCATTTGGGTTACGAGAAATTCCAAGTGGAAACGGACTCGGAATTGCTCTGCGAAGCCGTTAACACATCCTCGACCAGCTCAGAACCGATTCGAAGTCAAAAGCTCTCATTCGCAAGTGGAAGATTCAGCTTAGGGTATGTTTGGCACAACTAGCTAAAAAGATACTTTTACGAGCTTTTTAGTAACTGTTAGCTTTTAGTGACTGAAAAGATCTTAAAAAGAAAAGGTGATAGCTGTTTGGTAAAAAGCTGACTATTTGATTTAGTTCGGTTTGGTATACAAGCTGTTAGGACTAATTAATACTAAAAGTCACGAGCTTTTCTCAGATGCTACACCTGGTAGCATCTCAAAAAAGATCTTTTAATTTTTGAAAAGCTCTTAAAAAATGTCATGTCAAACATACAACTAAAGTCTTTTAAGGTCTTTTTAAAGAATAGAGAAGCTAGAAGCTAGAGTCTTTTGTGTGCCAAACATAGCCTTAAGCTCACCCATGACTTTCGATCAATTTATCAGGGTGCGCATCTTCTCGGTTAGGAGGGCTTGGATGGATTTGAGTGCGAGAGAGTCAACCACGAAAGCGAGAGATACTCCTCGTCCAGAACCATTTCATCATTCAACGGGAAGTTATTTTAACGGAGATAACACTGAAGAGTTGTGGTTTTTTATGTTTCGACGGAGATAGATGATAGTTAAAGGTATCAAAACAATGAGTACAGACACTCAAACATGGAGTACAACTGCATGATGCTTAGGTGTTACACCAACAAATTTTATATTCCCAAAAGGGCTGTAACCTTCATTCACATTTATAAGTTTTTAGATAGAAATTCATACACGGAGTACTAATTATCCCAAATTCCCAATTCTTATCTTCTCTATACTTAGCTTAATTAAATCTGTTTCTAAAAAACATAGCTGCAGTGAAAAGGGACTTCGGGAGATGGGAAATTGTCTGAATAAACGGGGATCGTCATCCATGGTGTGGGCTGCAGAAGATGAAGAGGATGAGTGGGAATGGGAATCGCAAGATAAGAAAACTCAGAAGACTGGCAATGGAAATAGCAGCAGGTTGGTCGTAGGCGGCGGTGGTGACGATAAAAACAGTAGCGCCGCCGCGTCGTCTACGTCGTTGAAGATCACAATCTCAAAGAAGCAGCTCGAGCAGCTGCTTGAGCTGGTGAGGAAAGGGGAAAATGGTACTTGTAATCAAGAAGATCAAATACTCTTAGCAAGATTGTTGGCGGATTCCGGTAGAAGTACTGATCGGCACGGCGGAGATATGGTGGTGCGCCAACGATCATGGAGGCCGCGTTTGCAAAGCATTCCCGAACTCAATTGAACATATTCGGCTGTTCTTAATTGCTGTGCATACCCTATAGTCATCGATGTGTAGGCTAATTGGTTGAATTTGTTGATGATGAATCTGACTATTATTGGTGAGATTGTTATTTGTTAATTAATAGTTGATGCAGGTTGTTGTCTGTAACTTTAGCCCAGATTTATGAGTAATCTGATTTTTTTAATGTATGTTCGTATCAATTCTTCAAACTCATTGTCTAATACTACCTCCTACTTAAATAAGTGTAACGCAAATTTTATACTATTCACATGTTCTACTTTGACTAAATTTTATTTGTTGATATATTAATATATATATTTTTGAAAAAAATATTACTAAATTTGTCTCTTTGTATATTTTCAAAATCTGATTTTTTTAATTTTTTTACTAACAGAGAGTTATATATATATATTAATGGTCAAAGTTGTGTATCGGGAAATCTGAAACAATGACTGTTACACTTATTTAAGAACAGAGATAGTACATAGTACTACGTACTACCAGTCTACCTTTGTCCCCATGCAAGATCCACATGGGTTTGGTGCAGGTTTTAGGAAAAAGTAAATGATAAAATGATAAAGTAGAAAAGTAAAAAGTTGGAATCCAATTTAAGAAAGTATTCATATTTTCTTAAAGGGGAAATGATCAATTAAAGTCTTCTACTATTACAAATCGCCATATAAGGTCATGCAGTCAATAAAATGTCATATAAATACGTCTGGTAACACCCCCTACCCGGCCCGGAAGGCTCGGGCAAGGGAGCGCTACCCGCAGTGCCGGAGCACCAAAGCGTTGAATGTCTTTTCCATTCCTTTTTATTATTTCATGAATACTTTTATTTTTAAAAAGAACTAATGATAGTAACTTTATGAAATAGTAGTTTTATGAGAGTTTATAATTGCGTAAGCATCCATATTGTATACATAACAGGAAAATACTTGGTTTTGCTATTACACTATACTAATATGTTAAATACATATTTATTATGCAGACTGAAATTGAAATATTACTAATATGCATGCAAGTGTGACTCGCTGACTGGCAGGTTGCTCCCAAATGCTTTCCTCCTTCAGCTTTGCCTCGTATCGACTATGTACCTACGCGAAGAACAAAAATCCAACGTGCTAAGCAAATCTTGCTTAGTGGTGTTCATTCTTTCTCCATACAATCTCAATATAAAATATCACATAATAAATCAACAAAAAAATGACATTTCAAATGTAAACCATACATATGGAAATGTATACTTAGACAGAATGATTTTACCCGTATATAATTCTCAGAAAAATCCTTTTTGTTCAAACTAGCTAGCTATTTCAATTTATTCCCTTTTGTCCAAATTAGTTACTTTATGTATTTCAAATTGTACAATATTCTGATTAGGAGTACTCTACTCTTTAGTTCGGCTGTTAATTACCCATAATTCTCTCTATAGTTTATAAGGGAATATTCATAGCATATTTTTCTTTTAGCTTAAATTCATAACTTAATTCATCAGCATTTGTTTATCTGGTTGTCTCCCATATTCAATATTAATTGGCTTAATTCATAAGAATAAATGATTTTATGAACAAAATATAATCCTTCAATTGAAGATAATGTTACATTCTCTTATCGTGTCTTTCAATTTCATATTCATATTATGCTTTCATTTTCTAAATTTCTATGCGTACACACTTTTCATCAATTCTTTTGGCCTCCATTTTCACATCACCGTATCATAATCGAATTCAATATTCCATTTCACACTCCTCTGGTCTCACTTTAATTTCATTTGCTCAATTCTTATCTTTTGCTCAGTTTCTTTCTCCATCATATTTTCCTGTTTTCACACTTTTATCTTTTTATCACATTTCTGGAATTCTACTCCTTAGTTTAATAGACTGGATAAACGGGGTGTTCTCATCTTTGGTACTGTCCACTCGGTGGCTACGGACCGTAAACGAACATATTTGGGTACTGTCCACTCGGTGGCTACGGACCCGTATAGGAGCGCGCGTGTATCAAATATCAAGATTTGGGTGTTGTCCACTCGGTGGCTACAGACCCGAAATCATTGATCAAATTCTACGGCCGTGTTTTATCCCTATTGGCATGTCAACCTATCCAAATCCAGAAACAAGGATTCAAATTCCATTGGTTTTTATCCAATTAAATTCAATCTGTCCTTGCTATTGTTATAAATATAATTTTCTAGTTCAAAACAATATCATTATAATCAACTTAATAGATTACTTATGACATAATGATGTTTTAGATGGGGTTACGTACGTAATTAAATACATTTTGCTCACCTCTTCAATATATATGTCGAATATAGATTTCTCAGTGTGTGGAATTGACTTTATTAATAGTCTCACCTCGAAATAACTATCTATACGTACGTATGCATATAAAAATATAAGTGCTTTAATAAATTCAATTCACCTTAATATAGACTCCGTACTATACTACTATGTACTCCGTATTACTTTTGAGTTCTATTTTATTATAATCATATACTTTAGAATTCTATCTTATTATAATCACAATAAAGTTTAATTTTTATTAATTTATTTTACTGAATTGAATATGAATATCCATCATTTTAAAAGTAAAATTTCCGATTTTTTTTCTTTAATTAGTATATTAATTATGAATATTTTTCATTAATAAAACCTGCTCTTTTTACTGTTTGGTAAAAGAGACCGGACTTTCTTGTATACACATTTCGTAATATAATTCCAGGCCATCTTCAATGAAATGATACTTTATCTCTACATGTACTAATTAATGGTATAAACTTCACAATAAAACTTTGAAGTACAACAATGTGATAAAACATAAAAACTTAATGAGGAGAAGGGAATGGGGACACAAACCTCCAAAATGCAAGGTGTAATTTTCTCTCGAATCCTTTCATCCTCAATCTACCATTTCCTTCGTTTTGTTTCTTACGGATGACCCTCCCACTCTTCAATTCATTTTCTCAAATCTCATTGTTGCATTTTAATTAAGTACTAATAACTAACATTATTTTAGTTTTTGCAGCTCAGATCAATTCCATGAATGAGCAGGTGTATATTTATAATTGCATGTATTTTTGTTTGCTCGTGCATGGCCTTAGCCGTGTGTCACCAACAAGCAGACTGATTTTGTCAATTATATGTACTAAGTATTTTATTTATCTTTTTTTTTATTATATTGTTTTTGTGCTGTCCCTTTTTGCATGAACTGCATTTACCTCACAGAGAAGTGAAGCCACGTAGCTTTTCCTTTGTCTACAGTTTTAGTTCTTAGCCACATGTCTTTTTAATTTATCAATTTATTAACTCATTATTTGTTTATTGTCATTGAGGTTAATTATCCAATTTTCTAGAATTTTCCTTTTACGAAGGACTGACTCACCCGTTCTTGTTTTTGTAAAGTCCAAGATTGACATACGTTATAAATTCAATATGATCTGATCATCTATTTTCTTTGCACCAATCAGATAAAAATATTTTTTTCTTCTATTTATCAATATTAACATATCTTATAGTCACTTTAACTTTTACAATGTTAATGTTTTATCACTTGTTCGTTCTGTTATTAGCTAATTCTCTTACCTAGACCTCAACACTTAATTATTAATCTCACACAATTGTCGGTCAATTGATTATCTTAGACTTGTATACGGCCTAATCCAACTGTGCGGTTACAATTTGTTAGCTTTTCACTACAATAAATAAATTTCTTAATTGGATTAGCTACTTAAATGCATAGATACGTACAAACAGGTAATTTGAATGGGTTAGCTTTTCACGATTTTGACTTAGTTTAATCACATCGTCAAAAAGATAATTTGATTGAGTTGTTTCATTTTATTTAAATGCATAGATAAAAGTATGCATTTAAATAACTAAAACAGGGTCAAATGCATAAATGGTACCTTAACTATTGGTAATGTTACATTTTGGTATCTTAACTCTTAAATGAATCAAAACGGTACCTTAACTATACATAAACGTTTCAAATTGAGATTTTATTCAAATTTTTAACAAAAAAGTCCTTCGTGACGATCAAAATTTCATGTGCAGAGTCACCCTATAGTGATCATATGGACAAAAATAAGGTAAAGTAGACTTTATGCATGAAATTCTGACCGCCACGTGGAATTTTTTGGTCGGAAATTTGAATAGAATCTCAATTTGAAACATTTATGTATAGTTAAGGTACCGTTTTGATTCATTTAAGAGTTAAGGTACCAAAATACAACATTACCAATAGTTCAGGTACCATTTATGCATTTAACCCAACTAAAACACCTATCGAAAATATTGTTTTTAATCCTTATATGTTTACATTTACTTTCACGCTTTAAAATGTGTAAATTTTGAGGATGTTACACGTCTACTTTTAAAAAGCAATCGGATGAGTCAAAACGACCAATTAATAACCTTTTAATCCCTATTTTAGCTTACTCGTCGTTATTTTTGTTTTGTATTTAAGCCAATCGTGACCAAATCTTTCAAAACGATAGCCAGACGTACACTAAAATCGGAATTACGAGGTTGTCAACAGGTCGTTTTGACTTATCTGGTTGCTTTTTATAAGTAGACGTATTTATATGACATTTTATTGAGTAGTGACCTTATGTAACGATTCTGTAATAGTAGAAGATATTATTTGACCATTTTCCCTTTCTTAAATTTAATGATGTAATTGTTAAGAGGCAACTCTTTTGAAATATACTCACGAAAAAACAACCAAAACTCGCAGAATGAACATGTGTTTAATGAATGTACAAACGAAACTATATAAAAACTTCAATTACTAATTCTAGATTCACAAATAATGAAATAAAACAATGTATATCGGGAGAGCCAATTTTGTAGACATTTCTGTGAAAATAAATTGTACGGGTCTAAAAGCAACATGGAAACACATATTATTCCGTTCGAGTAGGTAAGTCAATCACACCTTTATACGAAGTACTCGTATATGATAAAAAAGATTATCTAATCCAAGTCATACTTTTTATGGTAATTTCCAAACAACATTCATAGGAAAAAGAAGTGGATAGAATCTAAAAATCTAGATTAAGCTGACTCTTTAAGGCACGCTAAGTCAAATTACATCATCTTTACATTTAACAATTCAATGGTTAAATCAGTTTACCCTGTGTTCACACCACATGATAGCAACAATAAAAAAGATTAACAAGATCAAGCAAAATCATCATTGACTTGATTATAAACTCCACACCCCTAAGG